TGCCCATGGCATGGTTGACGTGCCGGCCTCGAGGATAAGGTGTCGTATCTTGGCCATCTGAGGCAGAACCTCCGGGAATTCATCCGAGTATTCGTACTTCAGAGTGAGAGTAGACAGATTGGGAGCGTGTTGCATGACCGTCTCGTAAACCGTGGGTGCCCCATAATGGGACATATCGATAGTAGCGCATTTAAGTCTCTGAAAAGGGGGCGGGTCGACATCCTCGGATACTGAGAAGGTGTAATCCACAGATTCGTGAACCGCTTCATGGAATGTGTCGATGTTGAAGCTGTGCCACCGATCGTCATGTTCGGCGATGAGATCCATCAATTCCCAGTGAACTCTGTCTCGACGACGCCGAGCCTGATAGGCTGGACTGTCCTCGTCTTCGGTGTCGGAACCCATGTGTGAACCGTCATCTTCGGATGGAGAGGTGACAAAAAAGGATATAGGTACATCCTTGGAACGTTCGAGCATGAGTTTGACGGCAGGGTACGTCCGGTCTCCATTCCTCAGATCCACCGCGAAGCTTGCCCAAAGTTCTGGCATAACCAAACTGATCTCCCGCCACTGCTTGCACACCGCGCTCAAAGCATACGCTGTCGACTCCCATACGTGACCAACGCCAAAGATATTGTCTTCCATCGAAGATGATGCGTGTCGGAAGATATGAAGCAGAATTTCGGCTGGAACGCGGTATATGATGGAGGAATAGAGAGGTTTCGAGAGGCGAGCAGCTTCGCGTTGTTTGACGAACTCAATCGAGCGGCGTTCGCATTCATCCATCATCTCTTGCATCGCATTTGCGAGAGGTTGCTGAGCTGGATTTTCCGCGACGAGAACACCAGTTTCCGAGGTCGAGACCTTGACTCCCATTGCCTGGAAAATTGCTGGAGAACGAAAAAGTGCGAATGTTTCTCGTTGCTGCCGAGAGAGTAGAGAGAGATCCTCCGTGTTCGACTTTGCCATGATCCAGTGCTAAAAAAATAGTGAGAACGGGTAATAACCCAGGTTGAAGAGGAAGAACTGTCTGACCTTGCCAGTATCGTCGTGGTCAGAGTCGAAAAGGAGACCTCGAGACGACCCTAAGGGTGGGCCGCGTCGGACCTGTGTGTGCCTGGTATCGGGCCGTCATCACGTGCCTTGTTTTCTCACCGACGTCGGTCCGGCATCTCCAATCTTCTCCAATGCGGCCATCCGGGTCCTTCATCATCGTCCGCCCAGCAGCTGTGAGCTTACTCAGTATACATGCTACTGGATTGCAGATGTCTACATTGCCTCTGTAGGCAGCTTCTCAATACGGAAGCTCCGAGGGCCGCCTCATCACAAAACTTGCACAAAACAGCAGCGAAATACCGCCCACGGTCAACACTGCCAATGTTCATTCAACGAATACTATAGTGTTTGAGACTGGCAGCTCGATGTGTAAGTCGTTTCACCGCGTATTGCTCTCAAAACTGACAATTTTATGGTTTAAGATCACTAAGCAGCCTTCGCAAGACTCAAGCAAAGCCGGCGATGCCATGAAAGGAAATACCCTCGGCAAAGCAACGATCACTCACAAATCCTGGTGTGAGCACCCTTCTTAAGGGCCAGTTCTCCGAGCAGGTAGGTCAGCGCGCTGTTTCAGAACTGCAGTATAAAAGGCTCGCCTCAAGTTCCTGTACTACCCCATCATCTCCCTACATCTCACATCAGCCTCTACGACAATGTTCAACAAAATTAACATTCTCGTCGCCTTAGCTCTCGCTCAGCTCCTCGTTTTCGCTCCCATGGCCAACGTTGGTGCAACCACGACGACCTCCACAATTCAACCTAACCAAGGCTATGACGATCGTCAGACCCATGCATACCAGAAGCCGAAAGCAGGAGATTCGAGGTCTCCTTGTCCTTGGATTAACGCGTATGTTCTCATTTCTCGTTCACCATTGTTTGAGTCACAGTCGGATGCTAATAATCGCTCTCAGTCTCGCCAATCATGGTTACATTCCCCGGAACGGAAGAAACATCACGATTCCAGTGATGCTGAATGCCGTCGACAGTAAGTTTCCTCGACTCTTACTTTGACATGCGCTTGAGTACTGATCATCGGCGTGTTCTGTGTCAGAGGTCTTCAATGTACCCCCAGAAGTCATATCCTTGCAAGCAAAGCTCGCAGTTCTGTGCTCGAACCAGACGTTCGGCACTTTCGATCTCGGGGATACTTCTCTGTAAGCCTCCCACCCCCCAAATTCATTATTTGACACCGAAACCTTTAATCTCGATTTGTCCAGCCACGGTTGCATCGAACACGACTCCTCCATCTCCCGCTCAGATTTCAACCTCGGTGACAACACCAAGTTCAACGAAACTTTCTACCAAACACTCGCTTCGAAGAACCCAGGCAAGGATGTCTATGATATCGCAGTTGCCGGGCAGGTCATGAAGGAACGATTGGCTCATTCGCTCAAGTACAACAACGCGACTGTGAATACCGAAAAGGAGTTTGCACTTCGTTCGACGCAGGGGGCGCTTTATCTTTTGGTTATGGGAGGGGCTCCGAAGGGGGATAAGGTTGAGGCGCCGAAGAAGTGAGTATTGAATATTTACATGCCTTGGATGTTGCTGATTGTGAATATGATTCAGGTTTGTGGATGTGATATTCAGGGAGGATCGGCTCCCTTGGGCTGAGGGGTGGAAGAAGTCGTCGGTGAGGCTTACTGGTGATATTGTTGGAGCCGTGATTCCGAAGGTTATGGAGGCCGCTCAGCCTTGGAAGGCGACTGGGGGCGCGTATAAGGGTGCTTTACCTATTGTGGTTGGATAGCTCGATGTTCTGTGGTATGAACTTCGAGATTAGATGGGTTCAATGATCTTATTTTGAATTGAATATATCTTGATGGAACTTTACAGTTGTTCGTTGATGAGTGTGGCGCCGGTGTTAAGAGGTTTTCAACCTCGAACCAAGTAAGTTTCGGAAGAGTACTTCGCAGTTTGAAGAGGGGATATGTGCAGAAGGATAATGGGTAATTGGCAATCCAAAGATTCGCGTGTATCCCTTATAACCGGCGTATCTAACCTGATCAAGCTTTCTCCAGCCTCGGCCTGTACAACCGTTATCAGCCGCCCAGGAGTTGCGTACCATCTACACCTATCCTCGTTTTATTAAGCTCACTTTCACAGCGCCCACGAGCTAAACCGCACCCTCTCTATTACAACACGGGCCCGCTAGGGTCGGAAATTTCCCTACACGACGCCTCAAATATCCGAAATTGCACCGCCCCTCGTCATTGTCGAATATCCGGATTCCGAAGTTAAAAAAAGGTCTATTTCGGTCTTACCGTGTAAGGAAACTCCCGAAGCGCAGTGCGCCACTTTGAGCTTGAATGAACACGCTGGCGCCCATCATTGCACTCATGACCGAGGACCCTGAATACTAGGTTGTTGAGGCGCTGTATAACACTCATACTGATTGTAGTGAGTGGGTATAAAAACCACAAGACGGATACTCACTTCTCTCCATTATCCCAGGTTTTCTTCGTTCTTTATCATCAGTTCTTTGTGCTCATTTTAGCTCCCTGCTTGATCTCACTACTTCGGAATGTTCAAACTCGCACCTTTCTTCGTCTTAATCGTCGCGGTAGCTCAGCTCCTATCCGTATCTGTCACCGGGGTTGCGGCTGGGACTATCAAAGCTCTTCGGTGTTATTCCGAGCACGAGCATCAAGATCCCCATGAATACCAAAAACCGACGGCGGAAGATTCGAGGTCTCCGTGTCCTTGGATTAATGCGTATGTTATACCACAAGTTTCGAATGGCTTTTCTCTGGGGCTAATGTTTTTGGGTCTCTTAGACTCTCGAACCACGGGTATCTCCCCCGGAATGGGAAGAATATAACGATTCCGGCGATGTTGGATGCGGTCGAGGGTGAGTCTGGTATTTTATATTACCCGGGTCTTTGACCAATCCTACTGATACCTACTAGACGTGTACAACGTATCCCCCGAAGTCGTCAGTCTCTTCGCAAAACTCTCCGTCCTATGTTCGAAACAGTTCGATACCTTCGATCTCGGTGGGACCGCTCTGTAAGTCCGGATCCCACATTCACTTCGCACCTTCCCATCTTCTCACCCTAACCTTCTAAAAAAAGCCACGGCTGCATCGAACACGACGCCTCCATCTCCCGCTCGGATTTCAACCTCGACCCGGACCACGACAATCTCACCTTTAACGAGACTCTGTACCAAACCCTCGCTTCGAAGAACCCGGGGAAAGACGTTTATGATATCACCGTAGCGGGTCAAGTCATGCGTGAGCGGTTGGACGATTCGTTGGCGAGGAACAACGAGACTGTTAATACGGGGAAGGAGTTTGCGTTTCGAGTGACAGAGGCGGCGTTGTATCTTTTGGTTATGGGGACGGGGGTGGGTGGGGAGAAGGCGGAGGCTCCGAAGAAGTGAGTTTTAGGCTTTAACTGGGGGAGTTTTGGCTGATGGCTTGCTTGTTTAGGTTCGTGGATGTGATCTTTAGAGAAGATCGTCTCCCGTGGGCGGAGGGGTGGAAGAAGTCGGAGGTGAAGATTACGGGGGAGGTTGTTGGTGCGGTTGTGCCGAAGGTTATGGAGGCTGCGGAGTGGAAGGAGACTGGGGGTGCGTATGAGGGTGCTTTGCCTATTGTGGTGGGGTAAGCTTTCTGAGGGTTTCCCGTACCGTTCTGGGTCCTATACCTTTGGGGGTTCTTTTATTTATTGATTTATGTTCTTATCTACTTCCTGCGTTACGGTACATATCTTCGCAGGATAGATAGGATTGGTTCTTGAATAAACACAGTCGTTTCATGTCGCTTAGTACTTCTATACTATAGGTTTGAAGTAACCTGCAAAGTACTTGTGGCAAGTTGTCTTCCTACAGCTAGTGCTACTTACTGCAAGTAGGTTCAAACAGTTCGAATACTGTTTTCGCCAGGACCGCAGAAGATCAGTGAAAATTAATGGAAAAAAGCAGAGGATGAAAACTCTAATTGACCACCGCAGGGGTCGAACCTGCAATCTCCTGATTACTTCCATCATGATCGTAGTCAGACGCGATGCCATTTCGCCAGGCGGCCGTATTTCTAGGGGCAACGAATTTCGATTATATACTGGCGCCTCTAATGGTGCTAATCCCCGCTCAATACTTGGGGCAGCTGGATAGTTTTCAAGATTGTTGCATCCACCGTCGTATTCGCATCGATTTGCTCGTGGATTTCTCTCAAGCGCCCTCGAAGCGCCCCTCTGTCGGACGCGTCCGAGCTCCGGGGGAGAAAAAAAAGCAGTGCTCTCCACTCGTGACTCCACTGTGACTCCATTCCACGTGACTAGTCCAGATTCTCCCACGGACGGCCTCATGGCAACGGCCTGGGAAACCAACAGAAAGAGGTGACGGTCGTTTTTGCGTCCCACCGTTTCTTCGCTTGCTTACTATCTTCCGGCGGCATTCCCTGATTTCTCCTCCTTTTATCCCTTTTTACCCTACAGCGACACCAACACACACACACCACGGGTCCTTTGTCCCCCCCTTCTAATTCCCCTACCCCATTAATTTGTGCATGGCAATTGTGCATGCTGTTGCTCGTATAACGACTACTGTGTATACAAGCTTGATGACTACGACTACCAAGCCCAAGTCAACGGCAGCGACCAGCACGAGCACGAGTGCGGATATCCCCGGGACACACTCTACTACAGCAATGACGACGACGCCTCCTAGACGAAGTCAACGGTTATCAAAACCGAAGGAGGAAGGGACGGCTGATGAAGAGTCTACGACGTCTGGAGTGGCGCATGGGACGCCGAGGAGAGCGTTGAAGAAGACGTTGATGGAGACGAATTATGAGCATGAACAGGGTCAACCGGTCGCGTCGACGTCGAGGGTGCAATTACCGCCGTCGTCGTCGTCGACATCTTCACCGCTGACGACGAAGAAGAGAAAGCCGAGCATTGCTTTGGCATCTCCTGCTGGGAAAAAGTCGAAGAAGGCGGCTGAGAGAGATGCTGGCAAGCTTGGCAAGGGTAAAGCTAGAGAACGAGAGCCATCTGCTTCAGAGGTATGTGTTTTTTTTTATTGTCCTTTTCTCCCTACAGATTTCGGAATAAATGCTGATTCTATTGACCCCAAAAGTCTTCGGCAACGTCGGAAATTTGGGCAGATTTCGAAGGAGGAGGAGCGAGGAATCCTACTTTGCCCATGCATTCGTCCCAAACTCACTACAATACTCGCAAGAACTCTCGAAAACCTGCACCACCGCCCATTCCCCATATTCTGACTCTTGATTCGTCATCCCCTACGTCGTCACAACTAGTCGTCAGAACACCTCGACGGCCTCGACCTCATCCGGTGCCCAGTCGGAGTGCCGACGTCACAACGGGCAGACGCACGACCAAGTCACAGACGACGCAGAGCAGGTCACAAACGACGCCAACGAAGTCACAGACGACGACGAGGGCCAGAAGTAGAGCGAGAGGGTCCAAGTCCAAGTCTAAATCGCCGCTGCCACAGTCATCCACAGCACCTCCACCACCGCCTTCGACATCATTCCCAACGACGACGACGCCCCCGACGACACCGAAGAAGCAGCTACCGGTGACCTTGTCAGCCCTATCCCCTCGGTCGTCACACGAGGATCTTGAGACGGCAGATCTGCCTTTGCTTGCTGGATCGTCAGCATTACCTCCTTTGCCACCACTCAAACTTCCTCCGTTGCTCACCACCCAGCGAGGTCGTTCTCGTACACGAGCGTCTTCACCGCACGCTCTGCCTTCCAGAAGTCCAGTACGGACGAGAGGCAGGTCGAGAATGCTGGGTGCAAGCTCACCCTCGGGCACACCGGGGATGAGCACAGCATCACCGTCTTCATCATCATCAGTGCCCATTTCGGAAATGGTGGCCACTCCCGCTCCCGCTCCCGCTTCATCTCCACCGAGGCTATCCGAGGAAGCGGAGGACGAGAGGGAAGTCGAAGAGATGATGGTCGACTCTGAGCAGACGCAGGCGCAGAAGCAGAAGCAGGAGGTCCAAGTTTGCGTTCAGGAGGTGGTCCAGTCCGCTGACCACCCCGATGAGGAAAGATCAGGTCTCCTGTCAACGACGACAACGACAGCGACAGCGTCAACGGCTGTTGTCGTTGGACCCTCTCCTTCTCCTTCCCCTCCGACCATTTTGTCACCGACGCCAGCAGCCCCACTGGTACCTCCGTCCCTGGTTGATGAGCCAGAGCAGCACCATCCATCATCGGTGGAAGAGGCCGCCGCTATGGACATGTCAATGCTGCCATGCCCCGACGTCCCGGATCTACCCCCTGATCCACTTCCAAACCCTTACGATTCGTTGGACGAGCATGAGCACGACCAAGGACAGACGAGCCAAGAGCAGTCAGAGTACGGAATGGGAATCCCGGATTATAGTTCTCCTTTGTCACCGTACGTCGTCTTCTTTCTTTCCTTTTCAATGTTGCGCTGATTGATTCAATTCGAACCTACAGAACCCGACCTCCTTCAACCCTCTCCTTCACTTCCGACTCCCAGAACAACCATCACCCGAGACGACTGGGTGCGAAAGCCCGACGATACATCCGCGGTGTCGTTTGGGAACAAGACCGCTGGGGTGGATGGAGACACGTCGACGATAACGGTGGGATGAACGTTCTCGGTGGACCTGGTAGTGGACTTGGTGGGATGGGTAGCGGTGCTCATGGGAGTGGTTGGGGGATGTGGAAGGCGATGTGTAAAGCTAGAGTTGGGGTTTTGTGAGTTTTCTCTCCCTTCCCACTCGTTCCCTTATCTTTGTTTATTGACCATGGCGATTTTTAAAGGGGCTCACAAATCGGCGCACAATCCATTCGAGCGTACGAAGCTCAGCTGTTTGGGATTCCGTCACAGTCCAGGATGTCGCTTTTCCCTGTTACGCAGAAGACGACGGTGGTGAGGTTGGCTCCGCCGCCGGAGTTGTTGGAGTACCATCAACAACAGCAACAACAGCAACAGCAGCTGGAGTTGTCGCCGCCGTCATTTTCGGGTGATGTCGACTTGGAGCACGACATGGAATTCGACGAAGAGATGGATTGGGCGTATGGTGATGTGGATTCGGATGAGAGCATGGATTTGGATTTGGAGGGTGAGATGGAGCCTGAGCATGATGGGGATGATGGAGAGGCTCCTGGGGGAGACGGAGATGGGGATGAAGAAAATCGACCTGAACGGAAGGAGAGGATTATGGATATTGTCGTTGTCGACGACGCTGCGGAACGGAACGAACAGGGCCAGAGACGAGGGGGAGAACAGGGAGGGGTGTATATGGAGTTTTCGTTCGATGGGGGTGCTTCAGCAGATTCTCAGGTTCAGGAAGCTCAGCAGTCTTCACCGACGACGACGGCGTCTTCGTTTGGAGGAGGGCTTTCTCCGCTTTCGCAGAGGTTTGCGCTTCAACAACAGCAACAGCAGCAGTTGCCGCCGAGGTTGGGGAGTGTTAGGTTACCGGAGCTTAGGATGAGGGATATGGATCAGTTCAAGGCTGTTTTCGATATGGATGCGTTCGCGCCTCCTGCTTTGCCTATGCCTATGCCTAGTACTGGTACTGGTACAGACATGTCTACCGACAGCCTCGGAAACGAGGCGTCTTCTGCATCATCCTCATCCTCCCTCAACACACCCTCCTTGCCTTCCCTTTCGAGTCCTAGAAGACTCGACTACTTTTCCCGCAGATTCGGATCTATAGCTGCGGGTACACCTGTCAACCCGATTACGAGGAGAACATGGATGTCGGGGTCTTCGTCTAGCACACCTTCCCTGGAATCCTCTCCGTCATCTTCAACCTCGTCCTCCTATTCGTCCTTGTCGGGCCTGTTCGACGTCGGTGGAATCGGACTCGCGTTGGGCGGGTTGTCGTCTTCTACTGCCGGATTTGGCGGCGGTGACTCCTCCACGGAAGGAGCCCATTGGGGTGTTTTGAGGAGAAGAACTCGACCTCCGCCTACACCGCTTCCTTTGCATAACACGACCAATACGAGCGGAGAGATGGATGTGAATGTGAATACGAGCAATCCGGAGTGGCAGGCCGAATTTTTCAATGGGTTTGCTGATATGGTTGCGACTGGCGATGGTGCTTCGTCGTCTTCGTCCACGGGGGCTGCTGCTGGTTCGAGTTCTGGTGGCGCTGGCGGGTCGTCGTCGTCGGCGGCGATTGATCCGGCGTTGCAAGTGCAAGGTGCCGATTACGGAGGCATGAATATGGGAGTGGGTGTTGGTATGAGTGGAATGGGGATGTATGACAATGTCGGTATGGGCAGTGTCGGGAATGGAATGGATGTTACTTCAATCGGTATGGGCGTGGGTGGGACGACAGTTGGGGGCTTCACGTTCCCTACGGAATCCTCCTCCTCTGCTCAACAACAGCAACAACCTACCTCGTCGAATCCTTCTACTTCGTCTTCTACCGCCGCCACCGCCGCCACCACCTCCTCTTCAACTTCGAACGCTAGCAATAGCACTTCTCCTCAGGATTTTCCGACGTGGGGAGAGAACTCCATGGACACCGTGGAGTTTTCGATGTCGTTCAATCCGATGGGGTTTCAGGTCTCCCCGAGTTCCCCCTCCAACAGCAACAACAACAACAGCGGAACACTCACCTCGAACGACAGCAACAACAGCTACAACGCTCCCTCCCCGACGTCCTCGTTGACATGTTCTTTCGGCTCCGCGATAACCCATCAGAGCATGAGCATGGAGGAGCTGAGGAACCAGACTCGAGGTAGTCCTCCACCTACGAGCCCGAGAGCGGCGCAGAGTCCTAGTCCGCCTTTGGGGTGGGTTGCTGCGTAGTCCAAGGCCAGGGTTGAAATCGGGTGGGTTGTTGGGGGGAGAGGGGAAAAAGGGGGGACAAAGAACAACACCCCCTTCAATGGTAAGTCGAACTTGCTCTATATCTATGGAAATGGAATAGAGTTTAGCTCATGAATGGGGGTCGGTTTTTTTAGTTCCATCGTGCGGGTTTTCGTTTTTGGTGCCTACCCTACCGAGCCCTTTGTTTCTGATCGTCCGAATCGGAGATAGATGTCATTTGACGATTGACGAT